TTGTTAATTGCATGTTGTTGATGTTGCTCAAATGAACTTGTTTTTCACAAATCTTCCTTCAATCTTGGCCATAATCAATCAAGGAACAACGTGTTTTCCAACACTTACAATTCAAATTTGAATGATCATTCAAATTTTATGTGGAGGGAACCTCAACATGTTCAACAAGAAAGATATTGGCAGCTATTTGAGGAGTTTTATTCAAGCCCTATGCAGCCACCACATCCTCCCCCACAACAATTCCAATCGAATTCAAGTATGTCCATGGATAATGATAAAATTCTCGATGAACTAATTTCTTTGGCACAGGGCTTACAAAACCAAGCTAAGGAGATAAGCGAATTGAAAAATCAATTTGGAGAGATTGCAGAATTCATGGGGCAAATTCAAGAACAAAGTGAACTCTCCAACTCAAATATTGTAAATTCAACGGGAGATTTTGAAATCGCTAAAGCTATCACCTTAGGAAGTAGTATAGAGCTACTGCAAGAAGAAGAAGAGGTGGACAAAGCCATGGCAAGGGTAGAACCACCCTTGCCGCAGCCTTCTAAGGGTTCTACGTCATCCAATTCAGGTAAGGTTGTTCCAAATTCAATTCTTTCAAATCTCATTCCACCAAATGTCCCTATTCTGTGCAGGTTCATGAATTCCAATGAAGAAGAGAGTGAAAAAGACATCTTGGAAGCCCTTCCAAAGGTGCAAAGTAATCAAGTTCCATGATGTGTTGAATTGTTCAAAGAACTTTGTACAACAAGAAGAATGATTCAAGAAAACCATCCAAGTGGCCAGTCCCCATCCTCCCAAAGGGGCCGGCCACACCCCTATAAATACCATCTCATTATCTCCAAAACTCAATAGCAACTCTCTTGCAAAATTCTCTAAATTCTCCAAACACTTTTTCCTTAAAATTCTAACTTTGGCATCGGAGGTTCTTCAGCCAAAGTGCGCACCCCCCTCCCACCCAATTCATTATGGGGACGTACGGTGTCATTTGTTTTGTAGATGTAATTTTGTTCAAGAAGAAGAAGACGAAAAATTGCATCCACATGTTGCATATTCATATATTACATGTTAAAATTATCAAGTTTGAATCCTTCTTTCTTAGTTGAGTATAAAATACGAGAAATCCATCAATATGCAACTCTTCTCTCCCATTAAATATGATTTACATGTTAAATTTTTTTGAATCCTATGAAAGAGATGAAAGCGAAAGTCAAACTCTGATTATAAATACGAGAAACCCATCAAAATGCAACTCTCCACTTCCATTAAATATGATTTTTAAGGACAAAATCAACAATGGTAATGTGATATATGTTCACAAACATATGAACTTTTTTTTAGTCGAAGAAATATGAACTATGAAGTGAAATTAAGGAAGAAACAAGCTGGACCATGCACGATTTATATTATAAGAACCACATAGCAAGGACCCCTCATTTGCACGTGTAGTAGAATGTAAAAGGTTGTAGGAATGTGTAGAAACCAAAGAAATACACATGTATACTGCATAAATCCACATATAAAGAACAAGAAAAGGATTAATGGCCAAATACACATATATACATATACATGTAATATATTCCTGCTCCTTGGGAGGTACCAAATAAATGACTACTTGAATCGGGATTTTGAGTATAAAGATTCCACTAACCTATAAAAAGTATATTCTAAACATTGGGTAAAGTACAAAAAACTACATCAACTATTGGTGTCACGATACTTTCATACCTCATCTTTTAAAATTGACAATGTCATACTTCATCTTTAGAATTTGGTCCAATGTTATACCTTCCGTTACTTGGCCGTTTACTTTTTAGTTAAATGCTGACGTGGCTTAATTCGGAACCCACTTTCTATTAAAAAATTATTAAAATATTATTAAAAACTAAAAAAAAAATATTTAATATTTTTTAAAATAATAAATAAAAGTAAAATAAAAAATAAAAAAATCCCTCTGTTCGTCCGTTCCCCCCTCTCTCTCCCCATCTTCATCTTCATTTTCTTCTCTTCTTAATATTCAACCAAAAAAAAATATATATATATATTTGAAAACCCATCAACCCCCCCTACAGAAGAGGAAGAAGGAGAAGGAGGAGGAGGAAGAAGAAGAAGAAGAAGAAGAAGAAGAGGAGGAAAAAAAAGGAGAAGGAAGAAGAGGAAGAAAAAAAAAAAACCATCAACACCCCCCCCAAGACCCGCACGGAAGAATAAGAAAGAGGAGGAGGAGGAGGAAGAAGAAGAAGAGGAAGAAAAATAAATAAATAAATAAATTTTGAAAACCTATCAACCCCCCTGCGGAAGAAGAAGAAGAAGGAGGAGGAAGAAGATGAAGAAGAAGGGGAAAAAAGGAGAAGGAGGAAGGAAAAAAAAAAATTTGAAAACCCATCAGCACACCCCCCGCCCCGCGCGGAAGAAGAAGAAGGAGAAGGAGAAGGAGAAAGAGGAAGAAGAAGAGGAAGAAAAGAAAAAAAAAACAAATCCAACCCAACCCAGTTGCCCCCTCCAAAAAGCCCCTACAACCCAGAAAGAAGAAGAAGAAGAAGAATAAGAAAAAAATAAAAAATAAAAAAAATAAAAACTCAACCCAACCCAGTTCGTGTACCCCCTGCAACCCAGAAAGAAGAAGAAGGAGAAGAAAAAGAAAAGAAAAACCAAATCCAAAGTGAACCCATTTTGTTCCTCACCCCCCCCCCCCAACCCAACCCCAAATCCACCACTCTCATCCATTATCCACATCCTCTTACGCACCTATTCTCCACCTTCTCTGCACACCCATCTTCCCGCCGACAGGATCTGGGTTGGGTTGCAGGAGGGAGAAGAAGGGGTAGGGAGGGGGGAAGACAAATTGGGAATTTTTTTTTTTTTTTTTGTTGGGGGGGGGTGTGGGTTGTAGGAGGGAGAAGAGGGGTAGGGAGGGGGGAAGACAAATTGGAATTTCTTCTTCTTTTTTTTTTGGGGTTTGAAAGTGGGGGGAAGAAGATGAAGATAGGAAGAAGAGAGAGGAAGGGGGAGGGGGAGGGAAGTGAGGGTTATTTTCTTTGTTTTTTTACTTTTTATTATTATTTTAATATTTAAAAAATATTAAATAAATTTTTTTAGTTTTTAATAATTTTTTAATGATTTTTAATACAAAGTGGGCTCCGAATCAAGCCAAGTTAGGATTTAACTGAAAAGTAAACAGCCAAGTAACGAAAAGTATAACATTGGACCAAATTCTAAAGATGAGGTATGACATTGTCAATTTTAAAAGATAAGGTATGAAAATGTCGTGGCACGGATAGTTGAGGTAATTTTTTCTACTTTACCCCTAAACATTCATTTAGTTATATATCAACATTCCAACAAAAATACATGTATTCACCAAAAACTTCAAATTCGGTGAAGTAAATGTATTAAAATGAATTATAATATATATATATATATATATATATATATATATAATTCAAATCTCTATGTCATGAATCTTTATAATATGAAGATCTTAGACCCCCAGTTTGAAAAATTCAGTATAATTGAAGGCTGTCTCAAAATATTATGTAATATTTTATGTAGTGGCGTGTGATGCACAAGAAGGGAGGTGATCTGTTTCGAGTTGGCCGGCTTGCCGGGCTATTCACAACAAACAGGAAACAGAAGAATAGTTTATGTGATACGAGTATATTATTACGTGACGTTTGCCAGTGAAATCAAAGACAAAATTTTGCACATATTTTTATTTTATTAGAATATGACGATACAATTACATATAAGTCATTCTCTGAAATAAGGAACTAACCGATCAATATCCAGTAGGGTTTGGAAGCTTTTGATTTGTTTGTGTTTGTTGGTTTTCCTGGTTTCACTAACTAAAAGTTATATAAATTAATTTGTTCTTTAGAAACATCGACTTCAAAGTACCTTATCTTATGATCTGTATTATTGAATTGGAGGCATGACATGAAGGCCATCGGACAATTTACAAAAGGAAAGTAACAAGGAATCACACAATACAATAAGTTCCAAAACTTTTATCTTTTCCTTGTTTATTTCTATTAACAATAGTTGTCTATGATTTAAATTGACACTAAACAAATTAAAGTGACACAAAACGCATATTGAAAAGCAAACATATATATATATATATATATATATATATATATATATATATATATTGTTTAAATATCCCATCTCGGTCGTATTTTTTAAAAAGAAGAGTTTAAATATCGTAACTCCACTCCAAGTAATACCGACACCTTTATATAATTTATTAATAATATAGCTCTTTGCCAATGGTCTGTTTCCTTTGAATCATCTTGTGGTAATAAGTCAATATGTACGGGCTTTTATTGGCAAAAACCAGCACGTGAAAAATATGACTAGATTACATCTTACCTCAGAAAATCCAATCCATGTTCTCAACTTCCTAATTGCTGTTGGTTTGGTTTCCAAGGGGGGCCAGAGGGCAGGTGGGGAGAGAAGAGAGTAGAGTCATCCCCGCTACCAAGTGGCATAGCAATGCTCTTACGAAAATGTCAAACCTACAGCATATCATAGCATCCCATCCAGAGATGATTGCGTACACCCTAATTCAAACTTATTTTCGATTCAGAGTATTGATTACATTTGCTACGATCAATCGCATATGCGCACGCCAGCTCCTAGCTGTTTGATGTGTGGTTGGCCCCACATGCATCAAGTCATCCTTGCAAACCAACTGATGAACAGCACTGCTCTTATGAAAATGTCAAACAATCATACAATAGCATAGCATGCCAACCAGAGATGATAGCGACGTCGGACATGGAAAATTCAACTTCTATCGACTCAGAATACCGAGTACTTTTGCTACATGATTAACATTTTTCACAAGTGTTGAGCACATGAAAGTCTCACTCGAAATTAATTTTTACCACTGTGAAGTGTGAATAAGCTACAATATCAAGCCATAGCTACATACATCATACACTAAACTCCTGGTGCAGCCGAACTAGAACGACGATAGCAGTAGAATGCAAAAATGAAGAAACCACATACAATTGCAGTAACATCACGAGAACTTTGTGCAGAATAGTGTGGCATTACAGATAAAAGAACAGAGGAATTTTGAAGTTAGAACATACATTCTGCTCGTTAATGAGGGATAGAACGGTGCAACTACGGTGAATATCACATTTGATTGTCTCCAGCATGCCTGTGGCTCAGGATCATTCTACAGCTACGCGTGTGAAATTACGAGTGCCTCCAAGCATACACTGTTGCACCTGGGTCTGCTGAGAGTTTTATATTTTTCCATCTTCATATAAATGCAATTTGATGCATTCCCAAACAAATTTGTAGCCCCTCATTTCTACATAGAATATTGACAATTACGTGGTGAGAATGGACAATGATAGAGCTCATCGCCAACCAAGACGATATTCCATCTGCAATAGGAAAAAGGAGAAATGGATCCCTGATGGTGGCGATTGCACTGGAAATTCAACATACTCCTGCAAAATACATGTCCTGGTACAGCTGCTACTGAGAGGACTCCTCATGTGAACCATTCTGTGGTGCAGCGGCTCGATCCTGTGACAATCTAGATTCCAAATTTTCAACATCAATAAAGGGCTCCTTTAATCCATCATCCTCCTTATCAGTGTCATTTGACATCTCATTATTCTGCTCTACAGCTCTAGAGCGTTCCTGTTGCTTTACCGTTTCAGTATGCTGGTGGAACTCTGTATGCAAATTGTAAGGAAGAGATGGAGCAGTAACGCCTAACCCTTTGGAAAGACAAACATATTTGAATGCAAGTTGCTTGTAATTATTAAGAAGGTCCTCTACATCATTGATGCTTAGGTCCCCAACATTCGCAAACAAGTATGGATACTCCTGGAAAACCTGGCCCACCTGATCGTTGTTTACAAGGACTGCTGCACCCTTATTCTCCAAGTCCGAAAGAGATGGAATTTTTGAATAGGGTGAGTTATCCTTTGCATTAGGTATCTTCTTCCCTCGGGATTTTGTTTCTGAAGATTTGGACCGTGCTGCTGGGTCCTTGTTGGCATTTGGAGGTTGATGTCTGGTTTCCATAGATTCTGATCTATGTACATATCCTGCAAATGGACTGCTTTGAGTATACTGACCATCCAAATCAGTTGAAAGTCCTGAAAGAAGTGCTCGAGCAGTTTCCATGTTCTTGTCATACTCAGATTCATCCAGTGAAATAGCGTTTGCATCAATATTTGAGATGAAGGACTCAACGGAGAGCATGTTTGTGAAAAAATAGGATGCCTCACCAACTAATCGAGATTGTCGCCTGTACCTTTGTATATACAATAAATTTGAGTGCAGTTGTGGGGGGTTTGCCTGCATCGCATCCATACAATAAAGCAACTTTGTAAACCTGACATACTATGTTGCCTTCTTTAACTGAAGAGCACAACCCACCTCTAGGGGGAACAATAATTCAAAAATTTACTTAAAATCAAAGATCATATGTATTGCATCAAAGGTAAATGTTTAATCAAATAATTCAAGCCATGATAAAAGTTAGTCATACCTTTAAAGTAACATAAATTAGGACTGGAAGAAATTCATCAGCTCCAGGGGGATTCTCATTGGAAGCAACAGAAGCATTCATCAGCAAGTTATTGATAACCTTGCAACAATTGAGGATACACACAAGCTTATCCCTCGGTGCCTTATACATATTGATCTTTTGCAGTTCTTTTTGTGCAAGCTGCGAAGATAAAAAAATAAAATAAATAAAAATAAATAAATAAATAAAAAGGAGCCAGGGTAAGGGTTTTTGAGAGGTATCAAACAAATAATTAAGTCGACATAGACAGAAGTAGGAAACAATAAATTATGATTGAATAATGCCCCATGCACATTCTCAGGAAAATAATAAAAACCTAAGGGCTGTTTGATAACCATTTCGTTTCAGTTTTATTTATCATTTTCTGTGCTTATATAGAGGAAAAGAATGCCAGAGAAAGGAGGAATGAAGAAGGGTGAAGGAAGGGTGGTTGAAAAAATGTGTATGGATTAACACACAAAATGAAAACTAAAACAAAAAACTGGGAGACAGTTTTAATTGATTTCAGATTGAAGTTATTGTTTTCATACTATCTCCTTCATTTCTCCGTCCTCCCTCCCACCACCTCCCTACATCCTTCTCCATTCCAATTTCTCACGTATACTTTCCCTCTATCTCTAGCAGAAAAAATGACATGGTAATCAAACGGGCCCTAAGAAAAACAAAGTTGAATTACAAATTAGAGAGACCGAGACACATTAATTACCCCGCACATGGAGAGACAGTCAGTTCACACACCTCGGAAGAACTGTAAAGGGGGAAGTCATCTCTATTTTATGATTCTTTCAACTAGGTATTTGTCTGAGCTATAAAAACTACTGCCTATGTTGAAAAACCTCCGATCATCATGACTATTTCTTTTTTAATACCTGTCAACATGTGTGTAGGTTTTCTCCAAGAAGGCCCCTGAACAAGGACCTATAACAAATATAGACGGCTCATATGCAAATCAATACATCTCGATTAAGATCCATGACCATATCTTTATATAATGTACTTTATTCGTGCATATCTAACATAGGAAATTTGGTTTAGGTCAACAAACAATTTCATATTTCAGCAGAGGTCAATCGTCTATTTATTTTCTAGTATAGATTGGAATAAAGAATCTTCCTCTCCATCTAAGGTTAATACCATTTGCTAAAATTTCTCTTCATTGAGCTATCTTTAAAACACAAAATATTGATTAATTCAATCCTAATGTTGAAATATTTTGTGACCTCAAACAAATTACCCCTGTTTGATATGTGTATTATATATTAATGCCATGAGCATACAAGGACGCTTCATTTATACATATTTCATATGGGTAGTCCTCTACTCACCAGCCATGAAGTCTCATTTTGAAAGGTGGGCTTGATATCCAAATTTTCCGGCCGAATAAACTGTTGTACTAAAGCCATCTTCTCATACAGTTGCTCATCAAGTTTTAAATCATCTGGAAGCGAAGCAAATACGCGAGGAAATAACTTTGTCATAACATACTTCTCCAGTCCCTGCACTTAACAAAAACCCACAAACCAAAAAGTACCAACAACATCAACAAATCATACATATATTAACACAAATTGTTAGCCAAAACACTTTATAGCAAGCAAAACGACAATGCAAATAGTTGGATTCGTAAAATCGAACAAGGGTGTCAAATTCAATGTCAAATTCAAGCTCAAAGTTGAAACTCACTTCGCCGGCACTGTCGAGCTCCTCCTCTGAACAGCCCGCCCAAAGTGGATGAGCCCTGAAATCAATTTCCATCCGGGAAAAGAAGTCCTGCACTGCAGCGCTGTCCCTCTCCGGATCAGGAGCATTGTTCGTAAACGACACTATGAAACTGCAATCCAATCCAATCCAATCTAATCCAATTCAATTCAATGCAAAACAAACCCAACACATCTTTGTTAACACTCAATTCTCAACTACAGTAATTAGAGATCATCACTACATCAACAAGCAATGAAATGAACGATCGGAATCTTAAAAATTCGTTTCACCTTTTTATGGACTTGACGAAATCGGCCGCCGACGGTTGACGCATGCGTTCCAGAAAGTCGTGCAGTCCTAAGAACACGTCGGCGTTCTCCATTCTCCTCCGTCCGATGGCTCCAAAACCTCAGCCCGCGGCGATGATGAGAGAGAGAGGGGGAGGGAGCTGGAGAGCAGAGTGCTTTTACTTCCAAAGCCAATTGCAAATTGATTGTGATGGAGCCGATGCACGAATTGATTATCTGATAAAAGAACAGAGCATCCAACGTTAATTAACCAAAAAAGTTAATTAACTTCGTAAATATTAAAATTTAATTCACCTCTCAAAGCGCGTCCTATTTTTCATATTTATTTTTTTAGTAATTTTTTACAATTTTTACTTTTTTTATTTATTAAAAACTTGTTGATAACAACTTTTAACCTTTAATTTTTTTAAAATAAAAACCGAAAGTTATTGTTCAATTTTACATTTTAGTAGCCGTTTGATAACTATTTTGTTTTCAGTTTAAAAAAAAATTGGAGTTTAAAAACTTATTTGATAATTACTTTTAGTTAAAAAAAAAAAAAACAAAACAAACAAAATCGAAAATTGACAACCTAATATTTAAAACTCTAGAAATTAGTTTTTAGCTTTTCAAAAAGTGAAAACAAAATGGTTATCAAAATTTGACTGTAAATTTTTAGATTTTTTCTTTTCAGCTTTCATTTTTTCTTAAATTGAAAATTAAAAGTAGTTATTAAATAAATTTTCAATTTCATAAGAAAAACTAAGAATAAAAATCGAAATGATGATGAAAAGACTCCTTAGATTTCAAAGTTTGACTTCAATGTTTAGTTTTTAGTTTAACTTTTTTGTTGAGTATTGAAACCAATTGGCTAGGTTTCAAAAAGGAAAATACATTGTAATAATTAGGGTCATTTGATAATAATTTTTTCTTTTTTAGTTTTTAAATTTCTATTAATTAATGCTGAAATGATCATTAAACGAACGAGTGAAAAAAAAAACAAAAGTTTAAATCACGACAATCAAAATTACAAGGTCCAAAGTATAGACATTGACCAAGTCCACCTCGGACGCATGTATAGCCCTTTAGCGGACCCCATAAGCCCAATCAAATGAAGGATAATGTTAGGGAAATAAACCTGTAGATAAAGAAGTTGATAATACGATTATGATTTGATAAACGTGCTCATTTCTATTGATGATTCATTATTTAGTTTAGTTTGCAAATTTTGTCTATAAAAACAAAATGATTTGTTTTCTTCGCTAGGGTTTTGAAAAGAAAGCTGCAATAGGGTAATTCTAGAGAAACAAAATTTGCAAATTAAATGATGTGCCACAAGTATAAATGAGCATGTTCATCAATACTTAAGTAATAAACCAATCATCAAATTTCATGTCCTTTTAATTTTCCGAACATTACTCTTGCAAATAAGAAGAGCGTAAAACTGCAATGGAGGAGGATCGGATCAGTGAGCTACCTGATGAATTCTAATTGCCATTATTTCTCGGTTGAATATTGAGGAATCAGCAAAGACTTGTTTCTTCTCTAAGAGATGGATAAATTTGTGGAAACATGTTTAGTTGTCTCGGTCTCAACTTTGATTCAAAGAAGTACAGACTGGTTGATCGGATGAACAAAATACTCTTGGAATATCATCTGGGTGAAACCCTAGAAGCTTTCAGATGTCTTCCAGTCGTGCTCCACACGCAATCGTGTTTCCCCTTATTTAGAAGCATGCATGCACCATTGCACTCTCCCTCACCATGCTATATTTGAATGCAAAAGCAATGCGAATGACTGAAGCATTTCGATCGATTTAATGATATTTTTCATCAGTTATGCACTCTCAACCCTTCGCATTGAAGTATACGCGAGGGGGGAACATATCTTCAGCTCCCTGCAGATTTTCCTGAAATAACCAGTCTCGAGAACGTATCATATAGTGTTGTTGCGGAGGACAAACGAAGCCTCGTGAGTTTGGCTTCCTTGATAGAGCAATCTCCTCTCTTCGGTAGAATTACAATCGATATAAAATAGACACAATTTATTGAACAAAAATAAAATGTAAAATAAAGTTACTGATTTTATTTTTGAGTGAGAGTTACAACCTAGTCAAGTGCCTATGCCAGCTAGACGAGCTAGTCAAACGTCTAAGGAGGACTAGGCATCATTTCTTGATTTTCAAACGCCTAGACATTAATTGGACAGTGACCAAACGTCTATTGCCTGGACGGAGATTATTTAAACAATCACACAAGATTAATTTTAAAAGTCTGCTGCATCAATACTTTAAGGTGGAGAAGTTTTATGGCTTCGTTGGGTACACTATTGACACCGGATTTGCTACGTACTTGATTGAGAATGCAGTCATGCTTGAAAAGGTTATTGTCGAACAAGCCACGGAATTCAGTCACAAGTTCAAAATAACAGATCATGAGAAGTTGACGGCTACAAAACAGTCTGCAAAAGTACCATCCTGAACTGAGCTAAATATGATATAGTAAGAGGAAATTTTAGCAATACTCTCTCAACTTTAATACAATTGGAGTAATGGTTCACCAACTAAAATTTCATGACTATTGGTCCCTTAGCTCATCAAAACGTGAAGTTATGGTCCTTTATGTCAACTCCGTTAGAACTTCAGTTAAAATGAGTTGCGTGCCAGAAGCTAAATCAAGGGGCAAATATAAAAAACCAAATGAAAAAAATTGTAGCAATGATCCTTAACAACTTTAACCCAATTGAAGTAATAGTCCCTAACTTTAATCCAATTGTAGCAATTGTCCTTTCAATATGACTCATTTTGACGAATTCTAACGAACCATAGCTACACATTTTAATGAGTTAAAGGACCGGTGATCATGGATTTTTAGTCAATGAACCATTGCTCCAATTGAGTTAAATTTTTCCACTTCCATTGTTTTCCTAAAACTTAAAAACTCTTTCAAGTTGGTGACAACAATGAAAAAAACAGGATGAGATCATACGAAATCGTTTTAGTTTGGTGAGAAAAATAAAGAACACATCAGATTTGCAAGGTGCTTGATTTAGTTTTCTTTTCCGGTAAGTTTAGTTAAAAAAGAGAAGAATTCTTACTGCGGTCTCGTCGCATAACACGAAACCTTTGGCTAAAGCAATGGATTTTCTGTTTTGCATTACACAAGTGGAAGGATACAATACAACATCGATTCCAAACGTTACTCCTGATATTGGGGCTACAACTGACTCCCACATCAGAAAACATTTCGGTCCTACGTAAAACTATATCACAAGAGCTGTCAATTTGTATACATACTATATTGTACCCTCCCACGCGCAGTGACAATTGGAAGAATTTTCAGATTCACGTCGATGAAATCGCCAAACACTTGGACTGAACAGCTTCAACATAACTTAAGCACCAACCTCATTAGCTCTCAGGTTTTCGAAAAAAGTTGAAGAAATCAGTGCCTTGGACATCATGTGTATCAGATCCATGTGCAATGCTATCTCCTATACTCTCTAGAAGACTGTCAGCTGAAGTTGATGTGAATCACAATTTGAAAAATTTTTACACAAGAAAGACCTTAAAATGTGAACTGGTTTAGAATAACGAACTCCAAACAGCTGCATCCCCTTCACCACACTTTTCATGAACAGATTTAATCCTTTCCACCGACTTGCAGATACCGCTGCAGCTCCAATCAAATGATGCAATACACACATTACCTGCCTGTGCCTTCCACTCACAATCTGCAGACGATTCATATAAATTACAAATACCCCAGCAACGGACAAGGTTATCAAATTTACACGTTGTAAACAGACTGATAAATCTGTTGTGTGGGAAAGACTGACTTAAGTCGTCTATTGGGTAGTGAAACATGCACCAATGCCATTACCAATACCACACTACATTTCTTTGCCTTTTCTCTTTAGATTTGGATGCAAGACATTCACCAATCACATAATTTTTCAAAAAACAGTACCTGGTGGAGTCCCACAGCACATATTGCGTTCATCAATGTGTTCGACTTCAAGACCAATAAACCACGAACCAAGTGACACATCTTCATTGGCATACTTATGCAATATGGGCCTGCAATAAATGACAGGATGTCACAGAACCCTATCATGTCTTGCAGAAAGTAATACACGAAAATTTTCAAACCATGTTTACCACTTCGAACACCTTGCAGACTTTATTAAGTATGAACCCTTGAATTAATCTCGTTGAGAACACCACTGCTTTCAGGCCATTACTTTGATTTAGATCCATATCAGAGGTATTATTTTCTCATATTTTTTGCAAATTTCATATAATGGACAACACAACATCTTGAAAGGTCAAAGAAAAACCCAGACTTCTTTTTTATTTCTTTCATATTACCAAAGCTAGGATCAAAGATGTTTGCAATGTCTTTGACCATTCAATGCATTTCTAATATCCAACACAAATATGTCAAGTTTCAACATCTAGTACAAGATTTTCAATGTAGTACTGCAGTTACTTCTATTTGGAGAAATAGAAAAGATGATCTTATATATTCTTACTGGTTAATGGAGACGTATGTAGCAAGATCCCTTGAAATTGCATAAATCTGTCCAGTTGCATGCCGGAAGTACTTGTTTCCCTCCTCTCCAAACTTCCAATACTCTGGTTCATGGTACTTCACATTCCTAGAGAGTAAAGAAATATAACAAGATCAATCTCTCCTCATTGAAAGCACACGCAAATTGAAGAGTAACATTATCTCTCATTGTCATAAATGCATCAGGACAATTACTTTTGGGCAAGAACAGGTCCAGATTTCATACACCCAATGTAGACTCTTGGTTTTGAACGGTGACGGGCAAGAGTAGTACCTAGCATACCTATGCAAGTAAGACTTGTAAGAAACTTATCCTTGGTAATAATATTTATACAGTTATTCTAGTTGAAGATAAAGCAATGATGCAGCAGTGCATACCTAAATTGACATGTACATCATCATCCACCTTGACATAAAAATCAGCATCCCATTGTGCAACTGCAGTAGTGAAGAAAATTTTCGTTTTGGCAGACAATTCATGATAGCCTTCAACGTGTTCCTACAGTGAAAAACAAGAATGATACCGAATTCCTAGCAGAATTGTCTTAAAAGTAGTTCCACATAAACAAAGCTTTATTTCTACTCTCTTACCAGCCTGAGGAAATCATTATGTTGAGCATCTTCTGAATCAATGGCTCGATCCAAAATGCTGTTGGATGTTGCACTGTACAAATGAGGCAGATAACACTCAGGGCAGGTTTGGATAGAAAAAAAAAAACCATTTCAATAACCTATCCACTATCTTTGTGTGCCATGCATTAGAAGGATAAAAAAAAAACAGGTTATGGCCTCTATTCATATGTATAATTTATCCCGTATACCTTCCTATCCTCCATATTATTCTTTTCGCTCAGAAAAAAAAATGGCATGTCATAGTTACAACATAATGGTCCGACATTTTATGACTTCCAACACTACCACTAGCTCACACAGCAAGAACAGCAAGTAGTAAAGGTAACATTAGCAAAAGAAAAGGAAAAACTAAGTTGCAAGTTTCAATATCTAAAATGCTGAAAAAAAACCAAAGTAAGAGGAGCAGGTGATGCAGAAAAAACCCATAAATGAGCTATTGGGAGATCATAATGCACGTGGTATGTGTTTTTAGGTTAGCAAAAGAAAAAGGTGTGAACTAAGCTGCAAGTCTCAATCTTTAATTTTTGACTTAAAACTAAAGTAAGGGTGGCAAGTGATGCAGAACTTGTTACTGCTAAATGATTAGTTTACTGTTATCTGGACATTTTACCACACCACAAAACGACTGTATGAATGAATTTACTTAATTACTTAGCCATTTAGAGCACTGCCTTCTCCAAGTAGAAGTATCAAATTTCGTGGGAATGAGCACATGCATATGTCAAAATTGCCTCATCAAATTTCACTGCATAGGCTGCAATTCTATGATCTAAATGTAACTTTTCCATACCTGTGGCCAATCATAAATCGGATAACTATCCCTTTCTCACGCTCCAACTGCAGTAGCTTTTCCCCTGCCGAACAATTCAGACACTTTCAGCAAGCAGGGCCATAAAAGCATGGATCTTGTTTACACTAATACAGAAGAATTACAAGCTTGCAGTACCTTGAGGCATCCAAGTCTCTCTAACTGAATCTCGCCTCCTCCTACTACTAAAAGCAGTGTTAATTCCAATAACAATAAATGCTTTCTTTCTAGTTGAATTGGCCTTAGACAATTGCGAGTTGGCAGTGGAGCCACCGGAGTTCCCCATCTCCTGCGAACTCCGAGCTGCCGCCAATTCCATCTGAATCGACGCCATCTGCTTGTCTAGAGATCTGGCATGCCTCCGCGAAATTCACAATAAAATAGCCAAATTTTCAGTACCCAGTACAAATTCATACAATTCCAACAAAAACAAAACATCCCAAATCCAAAAATATAAAACAAAAAAAAAAAAAAAAAAAATATCAGAACAAGAGCTCAAGTGCTTGCACTCACTGAATTGATTCATGAGTTCTGTAGATTTCGTCCATCACATTCTTATCTTGTCCATGCTTCTATAAATAGCAACAAATTTCTTCTCAAAGAATACTCAAATTTAACCAAAAGGGTATGTAATTATAGAGAAATTAATTAAAATTAACACCTTCTTAGTTGCGCAATCTTCCGAGACGATTTGAAGCTCTTGCTCTTGGCGTCGAGTCGAAATTAGCTGACCGTTGGTTTCAGGTGCTGCCCACATTCTGCTACCATAAAAAATTCAAAACCCATAATTTGTTTCAGCACTAAAACCTAGAGAGAGAAAGTTAGAGAGAGAGAGAGAATTCCAATTGAACAAAACCAAAATTTGGGTAAGCTGGAAACGTTACCTGCCGGTGATGAGCATGCCGAGAAGGAAAGCCGGGATGCAGAAAATGGGAATCCATGTGGCGGAGATCTTCTGGGAGCTTCGGCTCTTCATTTCTTCTCTCTCAATGTAGAGAGAGAAAGAAAGTAGAGAGAGAGAAGAAGAAGTTGTGACGAAGCTGATTGCGAGATGAGAGAGACGGTGAGAATTTGTAGGTGGGATTTAGAAAGAGAAAAAAGTTTGAATTTTCTTACGAATTTTAGGCCTGGTGGGTTCCATTTGTACCCTTAAATCTCTGGACCGCCAAAAAAATACAATTGTTTGGCATGGACTTTTTGCGAATTTATGCGAATTTGTGTCTCCGCGTTCGGCCATGGCGTTCGTCTCAAGTCGCCGTCTCTCCGCGCCAGTTACGCCACTGGTCAAGAATCAATGACCCGTTTTTTAACTCGGATGCGTTACTTCCCATCCAGTTTGGAAACCCGACCCGTTGTTTGGCTTCTTTGGAAAATACAGGCGTGAGAATTTTGAAGTGGATGCATCAAAGATCCACAGTGGCCTGCAACATCATTAAACTGATTTGGGTTTGAGGAGAAATTTTTTAGTGTGCCACGAATACAATTTGATATATTTATAAAATAAATGGTCGCAAATATAGTCTGGTATACTCGTAAAACAAGTGGCTGGAAAAAAAAAATTTCAAGTACCGAACCACTTTTATTATGGAATAGGATCCTATCCAGATCTTCTTTGTAAAGATTCTAGGAATTAGTTCATTGTATCATTTCGTCAATCATCATGAGACCAGAAATCATTTTGAATTTTTTATTTAAAATTGAATACAAACAAAATTTAATGAAAACTGTCAGCGCGATGTACGATGATGACTAATATAAATTACAAGGATTCGAATATGATCCCCATTCTTATGTTATGACAGTCAATGTACCGAATTATGATTCTAACACACTGAAAAATATCTTTTTAATAAGATAAATAAGTAATTACATAAGAGGATATGGTTCCTTCATTTAAACCTAGGAAAAATTTTATACGGAATTTCAACTTTTTTTTTTCAAGTAATTCGGAATTTCAAATAGTAGCCGACGCTAATATTACAAGTATTTTTACCCTCTCTAAAAATAGGTCCAAAATCAAAAGCGTAGGGGTATACTTTATAGGTAACCAACTATTAAACTCATGCCACTAGAAAATTACGCTTAAACAAATTAAAAACGTGCAAGTAATTTGGATTTGGAGATTTAACGTTCTAAGGATGTGTTTTAGATTTGAAAATTAAGGTGTGGGTCCAACAGTCAGTGTTCGGGGTTATGATTCATGGTACGGGGTTTGAGGTGCCAGTATTTGATTTTTTTTTTTTATTAAACAATATTATCTACATTAAAAAATTAAAGGGGTAAACTAAGTTTCATAATGAGTTAGTAATAATGTAGTTTAAATTCTTTTTTAATCAGAATCAAACCTAAGATTTCTCACTTATAAGTGAAAATGAATACTATTAGACCGTAGTACTAAATGATTCAAAACTTTCAATTTTTAACCTTATTATTTTACCGCAAATCAAACACGTGTACTATACGAAATGCGAGTAAAAGATAATCATGTCCAATTTAAATCATTTCACTATTGAGCATGAGTTTAATTCTTTATTGCCTATGAATCTAGTCTTTATATATCGACAAAAGCTAAGGTACAATTTTGTATTTTACATAGTACAAAATATAGAATATTTTTTATGTTACAATTTTATTATCTATATTTGTTGTAGGCATAATTTACTGAACTATTTTAAGGGAATGATGAGAGGGAGGCCGGCGGAAATAAGGGAGAGAAGAGATATATTTAATTGTGAGGTGTGTGTTATATCATTCCATTGTGTCTTTATTTATAGTAGTATGATAGGTTAAATCTTTACCCTAATAGGATTACAACTCTAATAGGATAATATCTAACTTAGAAAATATTCTAAGATATCCCTATATACACTAAGATTTATACAATCACATTCTTAATCTAAATATGATTGCAACAATCCCCCATTGAGTGTGTAAAATACTCAAACAAAATATCGCTTCAGATCTTCAGCAGTAGAACAGTTAATGAAGTTGTCGACACAACGGGCAAATGCGAGTCTCAAATTGATGAAAGTATGCATTGGTAGTTAAACTCCCAAAACCTCGCTATGGTAAAACCTAAGGTAGGTAAAAACCAATAGAATAAGGTGAAAAGTGAGAAGTATGTATAATGTCTAAAACAAACGTCATATAGGACGAAAGTAGTGAACTCAGCGGAGTATGATCATCCCAGGATAGGTGCTTCATCAAAACCTTGTTAGGTTGCAAAAACTCAATGGGAAAAATGCTCATAATCGTAGGAAAAAGAGTACATTAAGATCAAGTGCGTATGCTTCAAGATACTCCCCCTGAGTTAGACATAACTTCCAAATAAGAGAACTACAAACAATTCAACTCATACAACTCATATTATTTAGGCATACCGATTCCTTGGATGAGCTTCTCAAATGTAGACTTGGGCAATGACTTGGTAAAGAGATAAACATGGTTGTCATGTGAATGGATTTGCTTGACTTTAATGTTCTGATGATGTTGTTGCTAGTGAGAATAAAAGAACTTCGACGCTATATGCTTGGTGTTGTCTCCCTTGATGTATTCCTTATTTAACTACTCGATACATGTTGCGTTGTCTTCAAAGATTGTTGTAGGAAGGTCAATGATGATAGTAAGACCACTAGTGCTTCGAATATGTTTCATGACTGCTCTCAACCAAAAGCACTAACACAATGCTTCATGCAAGGTGAGAATCTCAGCATGGTTCGGCGAAGTTGAAACTAGTGTTTACTTGGTAGACCTCCAAGATATTGCAATGTCTCCAACGGTAAAGACATAGCATGTTTGAGAACGTGCCCTATAAAGGTCAGACAGATAGCCAGCATCTACGTAACCAACAAAGCGGGAATCAACCCGAGGGCCAAGGGGTTGGCAACTCCACTCAAGGATTCATAGGTGTATCTGTTGTAACCTTGAAGTAGCGAAACATCTTTAACACCATTCCAATGTCTGCATGTAACGCATTGATAGGAGCATATTTATGTTACTTTGTTAGCTTGTTTCTTTGCATTTAGTAAGTTAGTTTCTATTTATTATAGTGATTTAAGCTATTTTTGTGTGTTTGTAGGTTTAAATGACAAAGTTGGTAAGAAAGTGCAATTTGGAGCTATTTGGAGCAGTTTTGGGCTTGGAATAGATTGCATATGCATGGAGCAAGGTGGATGGACGAAATTGAAGATCAAAAGAGGCTAGGAATGTGCTTAACATCTGGAAGAATTAAATCAAAGACTTGGAGGATAAGGAATCAGCCATGAAGAAGGAAACATTATCCAAACATTATCCAACCTTATCTTATCTTATCCTAACCTAATCTTATTCCACCTTAATTCCAGCTACAAAGATGACTCCTTTTGACATTAAATCACATAAATATCAGGTTCTAGAAGCCCTATTTTCGTGCCCTAAGTTTGTGCCACATATTTCATCCATTTCCTTCTAAAAATCTGCCACAATATCCCTTCTAGAAGGCCTATTCCTTGCTACAGGTTTTGAATCCATTTCCCCTTTGGTCTCTACCGTGTAACCCTAGTCCTTTTCCCTTAAGATTGTGCAATCATTTTCCCTTCAGAAATTTTGTGAACCCTAGCCTATAAATACTTCATTATGCTGTACAAATCAGATCATCACCCTTTACCATCAGATCACCACCCTCTACCATTAGATCACCACACCATCCACCACACCTCAAGAGCCTAAATTCAGAAAATCCACATTATACCACCGTAAGGAAGGAATGAGGAGCCACCTGGAGCCGTGCTTGCCATTCAAGACATTGGATTGTTAGAGCATTTCTAGGTGTATTCTATTCTTTGTTTTCAATGTTTAAATTTAATTATCTTTGTTTTGTGAAAATGAGGAACTAAATTCGTTTTAGTTAGAGGAGACTTTGAAATCATGATTATATTTGCAATATGAATTGATTACTTCCATTTGTGATTTCATAAATTGTGAATGCAATTTACTTAACTGCTTGATTGATAACTTATTCTTGTATGTTGATTAAGAATGCATACTTAGTTTGCATGAATGAATTTGATGCTAGAATATAAGGGAGTTTCACCTAATCGTTATGAACTTATATTCATAAGTAGTGGAGGTTGCTAGTCACAGTCGTGCTAAGTAAATTCCTGGCAAGAATATCATGTTGTTCATAGTTACGAATGTCTTGTCAATACTTATGATTTTCACAAAGCTTAATGATCTTTGATTGTATCTCTATTATGATGTTCAAGTAGGGAACTATTAAAGAATAATTTGGTTGCCGATGCGTATTCCATCCAATTCAATGACTTAAGGAAAATCTGAGGATTAATTAGTGCTGTTCACGGTTAATCTGGGGTGTTGAGGTTCATGGTTTATTGGAAAAGCAACTGGAAATCAATTTGTATGCAAGTGTGTCATGTGTGGAGAATGACCCTCTAGCTAGCTTATCACCCATCCATTCACCCCAATTTCGTGCAACTTTGTTTAAGTCTTTAAATCTGTTTGTTTTTACCTTAATTTCATCCGAAATCTAATCCCTTTTTACTTGGTTGTGTCTTTTAGTTAAAATCTGTCCAAACTTGTGTTTTTAAGTGTTTTGAGTCAAAGTTAAGTTAGAATTCGTCCAAATCACCCTTTAGAGTCTAGTTTGAGTCTATTTGATTGTTTTGTGTTGTTTTGAGTCTTTTTAGTTTGTTTTGAGTCATATAAGTCCAGTTAAGTGTTTTTAAGTTTAGTTTTGTGTTTTTAAGTCAATTTATAGTAGATTAGCAATCGCTTCTAATCCCTGGCCTAAAAGGATCCCACTTTCATATACTACAATCATAAGGTTTTAATTTGTGTGCTATTATATATCACATCACGCATTGTTGTATCTAGCGAAAAGATTAACAGCGAATGAGATGTCGGATCTAATGCATTGAGCCAAGTATAATAACGCATCAATTACACTTAGGTATGCAACTCCAGGCTCCAAAATCTTTTCCTCATCTGCCTTGGGATGGAAAGGATCTCGTTTAGCATCTAAAGTCTGAACGACTATAAAAGTACTCGAAGACTTCACTTTATCCTCATTAAAATGGCATAACACCTTTTGGGTGTAGTTCGATTGATAACTAGGATTCCATCC